GTTTGACCCTCCCCTTAGTGACCCTTGTGACGTTTGACCCTCCCCCTAGTGACCCTCGTGACGTTTGACTCTCCCTCTAATGATCTTTGTGACCCTCCCTCTAGTGACCCTCGTGACGTTTGACTCGTCACCTATTGACCCTCGTGACGTTTGACGTTCCATCTAATCACCCTTGTGACGATTGACTCTCCCCCTAGTGACCCTTGTGACGTTTGACCCTCTCCCTCTAATGATCCTCGTGACGTTTGACCCTCCCCTTAGTGACCCTCGTGACGTTTGACCCTTCCCCTAGTGACCCTCGTGACGTTTGACTCTCCCTCTAGTGACCGCCGTGACCTTTGACCCTCGTGACCCTCGTGAGGTTTGACCCTCCCCTTAGTAACTCTCGTGACGCTTGACCCTCCCATTAGTGACCCTCGTAACGCTTGACCCTCCTCTTAGTGACCCTCGTAACGTTTGACCCTTAGTGAAATTTACATACTTCATGTGCTAAGTCAACATATCTCTTTTTTTTAGTGACCCTCGTGACGTTTGACTCTCCCTCTAATGACCCTTGTGACGTTCGACCCTTCTTCCAGTGACCCTCGTGACGTTTGACTCTTCACCTCGTGACCCTTGTGACGTTTGACGTTCCATGTAATCACCCTCGTGACGTTTGACTCTCCCCCTAGTGACCCTTGTGACGTTTGACCCTCTTCCTCTAATGACCCTCGTGACGTTTGACCCTCCCCTTAGTGACCCCCGTGACGTTTGACCCTTCCCCTAGTGACCCTCGTGATGTTTGACTCTCCCCCTAGTGACCCTTGTGACGTTTGACCCTCTCCCTCTAATGACCCTCGTGACGTTTGACCCTCTCCCTAGTGACCCTCGTGACGTTTGACTCTACCTCTAGTGACCGCCGTGACCTTTGACCCTCGTGACCCTCGTGAAGTTTGACCCTCCCCTTAGTAACTCTCGTGACGCTTGACCCTCCCATTAGTGACCCTCGTAACGCTTGACCCTCCTCTTAGTGACCCTCGTAACGTTTGACCCTTAGTGAAATTTACATTCTTCATGTGCTAAGTCAACATATCGCTTTTTTTGGTGATAACCCAACGAGTTAAGGGGGTCATCCCATGTGGCGGCCGGTTTTTGATGCTATATTTGGGAATTTTTTGTGGAGAAATGAACGAAGTGACAACATCGAAATTTTTACTACATATTTATTGGCATTCCAAGATAACACTCTATTTTTTTGGGACAAAACTCATTGACCCATGCCGAGCTATCCAGCGGCAAAGTCAGTCATGAAAAAAAAGGGGTAAAACGGTATACACGATTCCGAGAGTGCTGATGATCTGAAATTAAAAAATAAAACGGGTTCTCAATCTGTGAAGGTTCAGCTATCTGCTGAACTAGGATTTTTCAAAAATATCAAAATTTGAATTTTTGGCAGGCTCTTGAAATTTTTTTTACGAATTTTGGTGTTTTTTTTCGACTATTTCCTTAAAAAAAAAAACTAGTTTAGATATCGCAATTATCTTAGTTCAGCAGATGCATAGACATCTACTGAGTAACTCTTCCAAAGTTTGTTGAAATCCGTTCACTAAATTTCGAGTTATCGTGTCAGCCAATTTCGAAAATGCAGTTCCGAGAAAAACGCGTTCGAAGAATTCACATACCATTATCCGGTATTGAGTGTTTGGCCCAATTCACTGCTATAACTTTCGAATGACTTCGAATATCGAAAAAATACTTCGTACGCATATTCTACGATATATATAGATGGAATTAGTGTAAAAAAAAATCGATTTTTTCAACTCGACACATGGGATGACCCCCTTAAGTCAACTTGACTCTCCACACAGAATTAAAATTTGGAGGTAACTACTTAAAACTGCGTAAAGGATTAATTCCGCAATTTTATAATAATAGGGTAAAAAGTTAAAGGACAGTAGAATAAAGATTCGGCGTCATTTGTACTAAATTTCCCAGTATCGATGACATAGCCGTTTTTTTGCTCTCCTGTAAAATTCCATTTTATGCACTTACCTCGTTTTACCACTTCACTACAGAGATCATCGTCGCGCACGTGCAAGATTGTCTTCCGCGCCGAAGGCGAGGATGGCAAGCACGTGGGGGAGTGTGATGTTTTCCATGGCGAGGTGTGTATATTTATTTTCGTGTCGAGGGACCTGCAAACCTGGACCTGGACCTGGGTTTTTCAGGTCCCGTGACACGAAAATTAATTTTCAGGTCCCGTGACACGAAAAGAATATTTTCTTCGGCTCAGTCCAAATTTTGTACGTGTTATGGGTACGGGGCTCGTGCCGCAGAACGCTGAACAGCGCCGCCTATAGCGATATTTGGCTCTATTATGACGAGAAGCCGATGAGCGATTCCCTCATCGCACGTCTCAACAAAGGTGGTGGAACCGCGCGCCTACTGACAGGGTAAAAAATCGATAGTAAAGAGATCGGTTTGCATAAAATGTATTTTTGGCCTCGTCACTCCGACTCTCAACTGACTCTCAATTTTCTCTCAAACACAGGAAATTATGGATAGTCCAAATATCAACTTGGTCCATCCCTATAATTTTCTCGAAAACAGGAGAATTTTCCTAGAATTTTCTCGAAAACCTAAGAATTTTCTAAAACGTTCTCGAACACCTTAGAATTTCCTCGATTTTTTTTTTGAAAATTCGAGATATAATAGGAGAGGGTGGGGCAATATGGGCGCCAGATTTAAATAATGAGTTGAATTCGATCAAATCTACTGTTCCGACTTCATTTGAAGATCATAAAAGCCAACAGATTCTCATAAGAGTGCGTCGTAAGAAAAAACCGGGTAAAATGGATACCTTGATTTCTTTCTCAATTTTTTATGTTTCAACAATTTTATTCAATTTCTGAAACGCTAGTCATGATTGCGATTTTCAAATTGAAAAAAAAAACTTATTTTTGATGTTCGCCATGGGGGTGGTAAATCAAATTTTTCCTTCCTCATTTATCCTCCTCTCCGCCTATTGTTTTATCTCAAGCAGCACAGTTCTGGAGGGTATCTGCAAGTATACTAAAAAGGCTGTCTAATGTCTGTCCAAAAAGATAACTTGTGTCTAGAAGTTACCTAGAAGTTAACTAAAAGTTATCGTATGACTGCAAGATACCTTTTGGACGGACATTAGTCAGCCTTTTTGGTATACTTTCAGATATCTTTCGCAAGGTTTGCTACTTGGGATGGTGATTTCCTCTGTGAGTAGAAAAGTAATCATCTTACAAATTTCACAAATGGACAAAAGGTCAGATGTGTAGGGCATGCAATTGATAATTGAAAAAGAATTAATAATTTCAAAGTTATTTCAAGAGTAAAACAGGAAATTCAAAGCTCTTTATATTTCAAACTTCAATGTAAAATTTAATAGAGTCGAAGTTTGTTTGTTAATATCTTTCCCAACTCTAATTTTTGTTTATAAAAAAATACCGATACGATTCTCTTGGAAAATGTCTTTTAAAACTTTTCTTTATTTTTGGATAGAACCAAATTTTTCGGATGTCCATTTTAGCCCACTCTTGAATAATTTCTCAGTTGTAGACTTTGCCAAGAAGCAATTTTTAAAAATCGGTTATTGAAAATGTTTTGAGTGTTCATTTTAGTCCCGCCCATACAGATTTATCAGGTGTCCATAATGCCCAATGAAACGATTTTCAAAAATTTGAATTATGAAAAACAAAAAAATTCGCAAATTTTTGAGTGTCCATTTTACCCCGAATGTCCATATTACCCCACCCCCCTCTAATTTTTTCAAAAACCAAAGAATTTTACTAGAATTTTCTCGAAGACCTAAGAATGATCTAGAACTGTCTCGAAAACCCAAGCTTTTTTTGGAATTTTCTAGAAAACTGGAGAATTTCTTTTAATTTTCTAGAAAACTAGAGAATTTCCTTGAATTTTCCAGAGAATAGGAAAATTTTCCCGAAAACCTAGAGATTTTCTTGAACGTGCTCGGAAACCGTAGAATTTCCTCGAATTTGGTTTGAAAACTCTAAATATCCATATAATTTTTTCAAAAACTGGAGAATTTTTCAGAATTTTCTCAAAAACCGAGGAATTCTCTCGAAAATCGGAAATATTTCTCGAAAACTTCATGGGAAACATGAGAACATCTACCGGAAAAAATAAACACGAAGAAAATAAGAAACAAAAATTGCGGGGCCCTTTCCAAGCCCCACTTTTATATGTCACCCTGGTTTCCTGCCATTCCCGCAGTTACCGACATAGCTATGGTTCGGATAAAGCTTCTTGCTTTGACCGCAAAGTGGGGGGGCGTAAAATCGCCACTCGAGAAAAAAATCCCTCCATGCGGGCCTTAATTTCAATCAATTGATAGAAAACAATGTTATAAACAGTGCAAATATAAACTAATAATTCGTCTATCCACGTTTATTGTGTTTTCAAATATCATTTCCCCCTTTTTTGCTGCAGAAAATGACAATCCTATTAGCCATGCAACAGCCACGCAAGTACCGTGGCTCCTAGATCACCAGGGTTGATAAGCGCACTCAGAACGTTGAAGCGATTGAAGTATTTTCTTCGCCAAATTTTTGAGTGTAGAGTGGGAGTGACAGTAAAACATTCCGACACTTCCTAGCATCATTCGAAAATGAAAAAATTAAAATAATGAAGGTGGATGAGGAAAGGAAAATTTTGTCGATGGGGCTCCTTTTCATTTGAGACTGATAATTATTCAATTAACAACAATTTTATGCTCAATTTCTTGTTAATCAGTGTATTCATGAGTGGAAAATATCATCATTGTTTGGGCAACAAGGGATTTTCATCGGACAAAGTTGGTGTGGCTGCCCTTTGATATGGATACATACTTAACTATAATATATGTGCTCTCATTTACTATAGGATTTACAGTCAAGCTGACCTTGTGTATTTTAATTTTCTTTCACTCTTCTTGTATTAAATTACCATTTTTCCATAGTTCACCAACAATTCACGATTCTGTGACACGTGTTAAATTATTTTTAAAATGTACATATTTATAAATTAGAAAAATGCAGAGATATCTCCTTAAACTGTAGGACCTCTAAAATAGCAATTCCACATCTAATAAGAAATGAAAAAAAATTTATGTTTCCGATTGTCATCACGATTTTTTTTTCTGAGAAGGAGTACATGAGATCACGCTCTCATAGAATTTTTAGGGGGATTCGATTTTTTTCAGAGTTATGATTTTCCAAAAAATTTCACCATATTCACTTGAATATTTATTATTTGAGAAATAGGGGAAATAGTCTAATTTAATTATTAGGAATCGATTTTCGTTTCTATATATGGGGCCTTCTCCGTCAAACCAGACAGTTATTTTTCATTATCTCTCAGAATGTCTCACCAATTTTTCAGGGTGTTCTGGGGCTCGAAAGAAGTATTCCAGATTTTTTACAGAATTTTCGTACCGCTCATTCTTTCCCTACAATTAGATTTTCTTTCTCGCTGAAGATACCGCATTTCTCCGGTTCTATGCTTTCAAAAATGATGATTAAAAAAAAAAGTGTATTTTTTCCGAACATTAGGATGGAAGTATCATCAAAGGTCACAAACCATCAGGAAATCCATTTTAGCTAAAAAAAAAAGAAAAATATTTTTTTTCCCCCACTTGGACACTTTTAATTTTTTTTTCATATTTCTTGACATCATTTTTCAGGTTCCCCGGTGATTACAAAAAAAATTTCAGAGTGGAAAGCCAAAATTCTGTAGCCCAGCGATAAAAAAATTACAATCAATACAGCTCTCAGCTGAGTTGTCTCAGAATATCTTCGCATCTAACAAGGATAGCGAAGTTTTTGTAATAACCTTGTTTGGTGAGGAACTAGATTTAGGGTGGATTGGGAGGTTAGAGGATCGTCGGTGTGAAATAATTGTTGAGGGTCTTGAACTAATATCTACGTGCATTTATNAGTCGCGATGACTCTGGCGATTGGCCACTGGGCTGGTGGAAGGTTATCGTCGACCATCAGCACCATGTTACCAACCTCGATGTTCTGCTGACGTGTCTTCCACTTGTAGATCGACTGATATGGTTGGAGACACTCTTTGGACCACCTGGACCAGAACCGTTGAACTATCTGAGTCGTTGGGTTCCATCTCCTCATCTTGAGAGGATTCTCGTCGATGTAGGAGGACTCTGGTATTACTTGAAGATTCGCTGGTCAAGAGATGTCCTGGGGTGAGAATCTGGAAATCTTCTGGGTAGTCTGACATCGGACAGATTGGCCTGGAGTTTAGACAGGCTTCAATCTGAATCCAGATGGTGTTGAGGTCCTCAAATGTTAATGTTGTCGTTCCCAAGACTCTCTTGAGGTGATACTTCGTTGAATTCGCGGCTGCTTCCCATTGGTGGCGAGAGCAGCCTGAATATTTTGGTGATGGAGCCTTTTTTTTGTTGATCTGCTGCGCTAACGAAGGTGGTGGCGTTGTCATTGTACATGACAGCTGGAATACCCCGTCTTCCGGTGAATCTCTTGTAGACTGCGAGGAAGGCTTCTGTTGTTTCTCTGCTGACGAGCTGTAGGTAACCGGCTGAGATGGTGAAGCACACCAACACTGCGATGTGCACTGATCCCGAGCTTGAGCATTTGTAAATGCTTTTGTTGGTGAGACTCTGGTTGCGGGCAGTTGACCCATCTGCTGCTGAGCTTGACTAGCTCGGTGTCTGGCGCAGATAGCACAGCGTAGAATGTATGCTCTAACTGTGCCTCTGCCACCGAGTATCCTGTAACGTTGCCAAGTGTAGACTAAGGTGAGCTGAGTCCCTCCATGGAGGGTCTTCTGGTGAGCTTCTGCGATGACGAGTGTGGTAAATCTGGACTGACGTGGCAAGATTATTGGGTGGATCTCTTCTGGGTGATGTTCTGAAGTTCTGGGTTGGTGACTCCTGGGTAGCTGTTGATTTTTGTCGAGTACCCGGAGAGCTGAAACGAAGTACTGATGTGTTATTTTACCCAAAATAATTTCACATCGTTGATTTCTCTGGTCGTCAGGATAGATCCCGGGGGCATTGTTCGCCTCCTGAATCTGTCGATGGCTCTGTTGTTGGTCGCTGTGACTGCTAATNCTGCGAACAGCTTCGCCATCG